ATTTTTACAGAAAATTTCTCTGATAAAGTCTTTATTTCTTAAATATATACTGAGTATGGAACTGAGTCAAATTTATAAAAATAAGAACCATTCTCTAATTGATAAATGGCCAAATGTCATAAACAGGAAGTTTTCAGAAAAAGAAATCAAAGTTATTTATAGTCACATGAAAAATGCTCTCAATCACTATTGATTAAAGAAAGTCAAATTAAAACAGCTCTGAGGTATTACCTCACACTTATCTGAAATGAAAAAATGTTGGAGGGGATAAGGGACAAATAAGTATGTCAATGAAATGCTACTGATAAAGTAGTGAACTGGTCCAACCATTCTGGAGAACAACTTGGAATTATGCCCAAAGAGTTATAAAACTCTACATAACTTTGACCCAGCAATGCTACTATAGATCTGTATCCCAAAAAGAGCAAAGAAAAAGGAAAAGGATCTAGATGTACAAAAATATTTATGTTAAGCATTTTTTTTTGTGGTGGCAATGAATTGGAAATTGAGGGGATGCTTAATAATTGGGGAATGGCTGAACAAGTTGTGGCATATTATTGTGATAGAGTACTACTGTGCTATAAGAAATGGTTAGGGGGTGATTGCAGAAAGAAAACATGGCAAGACTTGCATGAACTGATACAAAGTGAAATGCAAAGAACTGGGAGTAACAGTAACTGGCACAGTAATAGTAGTGCTGTAATGATGATCAATTGTGAAAGACTTGGCTACCCTGATCTGTACAATGATCCAAGACAATTCCAAAGGACTCATGATGAAAAAATGCTATTTACCTACAGAGAGAGAACTGATGACCTCTGAGTGCAAACTGAAATAAAATTTTCTCACTTTCTTTAGTTTTCTTGGTTTTATTTTTTGAAATATGGCTGATATGGAAATGTGTTTTGCAAGATTTCACATGCATAATTGATATCATATTGCCTGCCTTCTCAATGGGTAGCAAAAAGAGTGGGAAGGAGGGAGAAAATTTGAAACTCAAAATTTAAAAAAGAAAAGAATGCTAGAAATAAATAATAAAAAAAATACTTGTTGACTGACTGATCATCATCCCAGAGAAAGTTCATGACTGCCTTCTAAGAGGGAATCAGATAGTTGTATTGTAGTTTCTTTTTATCTAAATCTGCAGTTTGGTCTGAGTCCAAAATCCTGACTCAACTATTTGCTATTGGTGTGACCCTGGGTAAGTCACATATTCTCTAAGCCTCAATTTCTTTCTCTATAAAAAGAAGACAGTGAAACCTGATTTCTGAGGGGCCTTCCAGATCTAAATTCTACAATCCTCTGGGAGTGAGCTGTGATTACAGCTCACTGGCAGTGGTTTGATTGGTCTGATTAATATGTCAAAGGATTTGCCATCCACCTGGGACCAAACCTCATGGGTGGAATTAGTTGGAATTTACAGTTAGAACAGTTCAAAAAGGTTCTTTTGCTGAGTGCAAAGACTGAGCACAGTAACTTCACATAGCTATAGGTTGAACTGGTCAGGAAGACTTGTAGGGGTAGGGGTGGGGAGTGTAGGATTTAATCTAGTTTTGAAAAGCTGGGTAGGGATTGAGTAATTAGAAAAGTAAGTTATTCCAGGGAAGAGTAACAAGATCTAAGACATGGATTTGGAATGAATACTTAAATTGGGCTACCTGTTTGGGGCAGGCAGATCCCTGTGCAGAGCAGTGGGAGATATTATTTGATAAGTAGCATTAGTATTATTGGATACTATTGTATTATTAGACAGGGGTTAGACTGTGGAAGGCTATGAATGCTAGGATAAGGACACTCTATGATAGGCAGTTGGAGTCCATCATAGTTTTTTTTTTTTGAGAATTTGCTTACAAACTAGAACAAATTGATATGCAAATGGTTACTATGCACCCTTGAAAGGACTTAGGTGCTTTTTGCAATAGTGCCATAAGAATCCTTGATATTCAATTCAATATGGTTCAACAAACATTTATTAAGTAAAGACCATGTGCAAAGGCGTGTCTTGCCAAGCACAAGTCTGAGAACTAACAAGTTTGAAGGTCTGACCAGAGAACATATGCAGTCAATTAAATAAAAAAGTATTATTGATGTCTTTTGTTTTTGTACATCAGTAATTTTCAAACAGATCTCCCTGAAATGAGTCCTCCCTAGTAACAAATAAAAACAGTTAGGGCAAAAAAACAAAAAAACAAAAAAAAACTAACAAAAGTATGATGTTTGACAATTCATGCAATACTCTTCATCCATAGTCTTTAATCTTTCTAGTGAGAGCAGGGAAATATTTTAAAATTATTTGTTCTCTGGGACTGAAATTGGTCACTACAATGAAAGTTCAGCCCCTAGGCCATTTTCCCAGTTAGCTGTAAGGTATAGAGGTGAGCACTGTTTGAAATCACAATAGATGCCAATTTACAGCTTGGGGGGGAGGCTGTTAAGTCAGCAGAATCAGGTTCAAGTTGACCTGAAAGTTTCCTTTCTAATCTAAAATTCTATGATCTCCGATACTTATCTGGAAAGTATCATGAAAACTGTTCCCTATTTACCTCCAAGGAATAAATCTAGAATGTTTAGAGTTCTTCAGAGGAAAAAAAGAAAGCTCTGTATAAGCTAACACTTTCATTGCTGTTGTTCCTGACCCTCCATTTTTAACACACACATAAAACCTCTTGGTGACAGTTTCCTGGAGACAGACAACTCCCTTGTTCTGACTGAAATTTGCTGTCAGCAACAATCTAGCCATCTTGGCCAAATTACTGAGGGGCCCCCTCTCCAAAGAGCTTTGAAGCAACACCCCCTCCTTCCCGTTCCAGTGCATTTTGTAAGTACCCAGAAACTAGTTGCCCAATCCTGGTAAGCCATGGGGACACTTTTGGCTTCTCAACATCATGAATGTACTCCAACATCTGACATATTTCTGGGGAATTAAGCAATGACAAAAATCTTTTCTTTGTTGTGCTTGACATAACCCTCTTTGCTCCTGTCAAAGACAGGGATATATAAAAATGCCATACCTGGCCTCTTACTGACTAAACTTCAATACCTCTTTGATTCAGCTGCTGGGGATTCAAGGTTACTGAACATGAGTCACTTGAAAAAAATAACTTCTGGAATCTGGGCCCACTCCTAGCTTTGTGAACACAGCTGGATCAAGAAAGCTATGGAAGCCCTCACTGGTTCTATCGATTTGAAACTTTGTGCTTTGCTCCCCCCACCCTTTTCCCTGTTCAGTAATGCAAATCAAGACAGGATATAGAAACATCCTGCCTGAATTAGCAGGGAGAATGACAGGCAGGCAGTTTTCCTGCAAGATGCATCCCAACATCATATAAATCAAATGTGAGGTTTAGTAGGATGCAAAGCTGGACTGTAAAATTCAATTCTCTGGCCACTAAATGTGTGTGATCTACTTTCATCTTCAGAATCGAGCTCCTGCCCCAATCTTAAAGAACTACTTCTAAGAAAAAAAAAATCACAAACTTACACACACACACACACACATCCCTAATAGTTCTGGCCAAGGAATATCTTCCTGTCTTGGCTTGACATAGGGAATTAACATCTCACATACAAGTATTTCCTCTGTATTCTATCAACAGCTACTTACATTTGAATAATTAAAAGTATCATGCAATTTTTTCTGCCCCCCCATGCCCACCATGAAAACTGCCCACATCTCCCTTGCCATAGATGAGAGGGCCAGACCTCATGGAAAACGCAGAAGTCTCACAACAACACAAATGTTCTTGAATTATAAAAAACTGTTCTCTCTGACACCCACACATTAAAGAATATTAGTCCCAAGTCCTCATTCTTGGGTGCTTGGCTTCTCCTCTAACTATTGGCACCATTTGAAATATGGGAGATCGGGTAGCTATAATAATTGAACCAAGCCAAAATTGAGAAGGCCCAAAAAGGGGGGGGGCAAAGGGTATTGAAAAAAAAGTTAGTTTGTAATTTCAAAAGATGGGTGGTGTGGGTGGGGAAGAGCTCACAGAAGCTTCTACATATCCTCACAATGAATCTTTTCACATACGGCTTCCTGTTAGCAAACCATGTGCTAACTCAAAACTAAAAAGAGAAAGAAAACAGACACTAGCGGGCTTACAGAAAACCCCAACTAGTCAAGGGTGTCACCCTCACCGTTGCTTCTTTGCCCATTCATAATACCTTGTTGGGCTATTGGAGTTTGTTTTGAATACTGCTCAGCAGTCCTACTTTCAGCAGAGCTCTCTTGGCAGCTTGGGGAAAAAAAAGTTCTCAGAAAGTTCACTTCAGTTATTAAATACTTGGACTCTCTCTCCAACTGTCTGCATTTTTATTATTTTATGAAAAAAAAAAGTTCTTGCCCAAGATCTCTCTCTTATGCTCTCCCTCCCGCTCTTCCCCCCCTTCCTTCTTAAACTTCAGGGGCAAGGGTGGGGAGGCGGGGACAGATAACAGTATCATGCTTTTAAATATGGACAGTTTTCAGCTTCAGTATCAAGTTACACATAGCCAGCTAGTGGCTCATGCCCAGATCGAGCCAGGCAGCTTCTAGGAAAAGCACTATTGGTGCCTTAAGACTTCAACTGTTCCACTAACCCCCCCCCCCATGTTTTGTTTTAATTCCCCCAGAGGAAGGGAAAATATTCCAGCAAATGAACAAACAACAAAATACAAGGAGTGTGTCTGTTCCCTTTCCTTTCCCATAATTAACTCAGTTCTTAGACTGAAGAGGGGAAAAGAGAAGAATGCTGTTTTGAAAGGTATCCCTCTTTAATGAGTTTATACCAAACTTACTGGCTGGACCCCCTCTCTTCCTCCTAGGCTCTCCTTACTCCTCAAAGAGAGAAGAAAGATAAGGCACTTTGGCTTTACATCCAGTTTTCTTTCCTGCTCTTTGAGGTCAGGTTCCTCGGGGAAATAGGGAGCCTGGTATTAGCCCCCATTCCTCCCCCTCATTCAATTCTAACTGTTTCCAGGCAGTGCGGGACAAACACACAGTACAAACAGGTACTCACCGTCATCCACTGTTGTACTGTTTGGGTTACTCATAACTGACAGACTCCAGAGCGCCCTGGGCCACTGGTCTCGTCTGGCTCAGGGAGGGCTGGGGAGATTGAGCAGAACAGCTGGAAGGATCAGAAAAAGGCAGGAGTCTCCTGGAGAAGTCTCCTCTTGTTCTTGTCTGGTTCCTGACCCTTCGACAACTGGGAAAGGAAACAGCACATGTGTCATTCTCTTTACAGCTCACATGCTGAGGGGAGGGGCTCAAATTTGGAGATAGGCAGGGTTGTTGGTTTTTTTTTTCTTTTTGTTTTCCTTTTCTCCTGAATGTTAGCTGACCCAGGGTTTCTACCTTTTTTTTTCTTTTTAATGAATACACACTCACTCTGGAACACACATGCTCACTTGCACTTTTCTCTCTCTCTCTCTCTCTCTCTCACACACACACACACACATACACATACTTGATATTTCCACTCACCCCCAGGAAGGAGATAACTCTTCCCAACTTACTTTTCATGTGGTCCATAGGAAACTTTGGATTAGAAATTATTTTCTCGATGAAAGTAGTCACAAAACTCCCTAGTTCTTTGGTATAGTGTGCTATTAAAGAGAGAGATTTGGACCTTTATGAGAAAAAGCTCTGGTTTGGGAGTCAAGACATCTTGTCCTTGCTCCTGGTGTCAGGACTTTGAGACCTTGGTAAATCACTTAACCTTTTTGTGTCTTTAGTTGTGTCCTCTGTGAAATGGAACTATGAGTACATGTGTATACAAATATACAGTAAAACTTCACTTATCTGAAAGTGAATATCTAGCAAGCAGACCTATTAAAAAAAACAATTAAAAACTAGAAAGGGAGTTAGAAATGTTTCTGAATAACCTAAATAGGAATATGCTAGTAAATGTTTAACTACAAGCTCTCAAATACACACACACACACACACACGCATACATACTACACTTTCAAGTGTAATCTGTATTAGTGACATTTTCTCCATTACTTTCTTAAGCCTAGACATTCAAAACAATAAATCAAGCCCTGATTTGTATCATTTCTTAAGCCTCACTGGAGCTGATTCCAGCACATCCCTGCTTTAGCACCATCTCTAATGGACTTGGTTTTTAGGTTTCTCAGCACAGTGACCTCCATGGTTGTGCATCACTATCAGAAAAAAAAAAGAATATTCATCTTCATTATGTATATCTCTATTTGTTCATCTGTCAGTCTATCTATTCTATACATGCATAACTGTACTAATACTTATGTACATTGTAGGACTGACACAAAATGGAAATTAAAAAAGGATGAAAAAAAGATGAAAGACCTTGATCCTAGAAGCAATAGGTAGTCATTGAAGGTTATTGAAGAAGGTAGCAACAAGGTCAGATTTGTAAATGAGCATGATCTTTCAGGGGAGGAGATGGTTATTCAACAAAATTGGAGACTTCCATACCCTCCAGATAAAAAGACCAGAGCTCAACAGAAAATTTGGTCTTCAAATATAAGACTCAAGAGAGACATAAAAAGGTAAACAGGACAGAGAAAAATAATATATTATTAATAAGAGCAAACTGTTTACATCCCTACAAGGGAAGATGACACTTGTAACTCTTGAGAACTGTATTGTTATTACACCATGTTAAAGGGGTATACATAAAGGGGGTGGTTATAAATTGATTTTGAGGTAATGATGAAAAAAATCCCCACAGGAGGATGAATTGGATAGGGGAGAGACTTGTTTGAGGTAGGGAGACTATTATAATAATAGAGGCATGAGGTAACAAGGTCCTGCATTGGAGTGATTGCTGTATAAGTAGAGAAAAGGGGATAGATGGAACTGATATAGAAGTAGAGACAAGATTTGGCAACTAATTGGTTGTGTGGTATAAGGGAATGAGGAACCAAAGATGCTACCACGGTTATGGACATAGATGGCTAGAAGGATGGGGGTGTCCTTGACAGTCATAGTGAAATTTGGAAGAGGGGTGTTTTTTGGGGTGGGGGAAAGATAATGTAATGTGATGCCGATCTAAACTCATCCATGTTTCAGGTTTATTCATCCTGTACTGCTCTTACTGTTCCACCCAAAATAAAAAACAAAAACAATGTGGTAGTATTCTTATACCTGGTCATGACCCCAAAGTGTAGAGCTTCCATTTTGAGGTGTGCCTGCTATAGCTGTCAGGTGATCTATGGGGGAGGGGAACATTGGACATATGTGTACTGGAGTAGGTGGAAGGTTTCCCAATGGTACCTGCGCAGCTTCTCCTGTCAGGGCCTGGTTGTAAACTGTGTTATAATTGCCCCAAGGTGCCAACAGTGGCTCAGAAGATGGGGATAAATAGATGGTAATGCTGGGGGCTTCTACAGTGGGAAGAAGGGCTGGAATGGGGACAGGTGTTAGAAGATAAGGGTTGGAGTGATAGTCTTGGAGATAAGACCCACAATTGGTTACTGTGGGGAAAAAGGGATGTTAGGAATCTTTTTGCCCACTAATTGGTTCATTATATACCTCTTGGGAGGTATACCTCTTGGGAGCAGGACATATCCTCCATTTTGGAATACACTATCCTAGACAATAGCAGATAAAAAAATAGCTATTTGGAAGAGGATGGGGAATTGCTAGAGACTGGCCTACTGACAGTAATAAGAAAAGACAGCTGATGGTCTGTTAATAAGAGATGAGCAAAGTACCATAAAAAGCAGACACAAAATTTTAAAAAAAACAGCATAGTCTGGGATTATTTAGGGTAAGAACAGAAGTCATTGACTGTATATTCCTCAAATGAGCAATTTTTAAAATTTTCTGTATTCATGTGTATTTTTGTACATTCCCTGGTAGAATATAAGGTCGTTGAAGTCAGGGAGTGTTTTGTTTTGTTTTGTTTTTTGCTTTATTTTTGTATCTTTATATGCCCAGCACTGAGGATTGCACTTAGTAGTGCAATGGAAATGAATTGAATTAATGAATACATTCAGCAAATATTTGATTGCCTATTATGCAAAAAGCTAGGTACAGCACAGTATATCAAGATGAACAAGATATAGCTCTTGCCTTATGGAGCTTGCAATCTCTAAGGTGGAAAAAGACATATACATATGTAACAGTAATACAAGGCAGAATAGAAAAGTGCAATAAGAGAAGTATGAACTTCTTTTCTGCAGTTTTAGAGGAGTAGATTATATCCAGGTGGGGAGAAGCAGGGAATACTTTATAGAAGAGGTGGCAAAATTCTAAGAGATGGTCATAGAGAAGAAGGCTGCAGATAGATCAGTATCTCCAGGGGCATCATTTTGCCATAAAGGCCATAATTTAGCTTTATAGTGAAGGAAGAAAAATATCTGCCCATCTCAGTGTACCCTGAGGGCAATCATTTTGAAATTTGCATTACTTAGGAGATATTCTTCTTAGGTGTCTCCTTGACTCCTGGGTTTGCACTTCAAAGTTTTTACATAGCTCCAGTCTTTTCATCAGGAGTGCCTAAAAGTTCTCTATTTTGTTTAAGTTCCTTTTTTTTTTTTCTCCCATGGTTTTGCTGAGTAAGTTATTCTTGGTTGTAAGCTTATACTTTTTGCCTTCTGGAATATTATATTCCAGACACTCTATTTCTTTACAATGGTAGCTGCTAAATCTTGTGTGATCCTGACTGTGGCTGTTTAGTACTGAATTCTTTCTTTCTACCTACTTGCAGTATTTTTCTTTGACCAGCAAGATCTGGATTTTGGTAATGATGTTCCTGGGAGTTTTTGTTTTGGAGTTTCTTTCAGAAAGTAGATTCTTTCTATTTTCACTTTGCCCTCTGGTTCTCAGGGAGCTAGGGAGTTTTTTTTAATGATTTGTTGAAATATGATGTCTAGGATACTTTTTTGGTCATGGCTTTGGGTAACTAAAATTATTTTTAAATTATCTCTACTTGATCTGTTTTCTAGGTCAATTGTTTTTGCTACAAGATGCTATACACTTTCTTCTATTTTTTACAGTTTTTTTTAAAGACTTATTGTTGTCTCATAAAATCATTGACTTCTAATTTTCAAGGAGTTTCTTGCTTGGTGATGAATTTATACCTCTTTTTCCAAGCTGTTAATTTTCTTTCCAATTCTGTCTTCCATCACTTTCATTTCTTTTCCAATTTTTCTCCTAGCTCTCTCATTTATTTTCTGGTTATTTCCTCTAATGCTCTTATCTTATTTATAAAGTTATCTTTTAGCTATTAATTTTTTTTTTGCTTTATCTCTTTTAGGATTTTTAGTTGAATTTGTGTCCCAGATGTGTTTTACTTTGAAACTTTGCTTGTAGATATTTAGGAGTCATTCTCTTCTTTTGGTTCTGTCGAGTATCTTTTTCACCATAATACTTCTTTATGGTGAAATTATTTTTCTTTTTTGATTTATTTTCTCATTCTTCTAGCCTTACTTCCTGATTTTGGACTTTATATTAGAGCTGAGATCTGTTCACTTCTGAAAAGAATAACTAGAGTTAACAATTAATTCATTTTCAAAGGTTCATGTAACACATTTACCTTTCCATAAACTTTTTTATTTATTTTCTTTTAAAAAATCACCCAAAGAGCCAAATTAATTTATTTCATATTCATAGCCTAGCCTCACCATCTTTCCCTGAGACTTTTCAGTTTTAACCCTGGGCAAAAGATAAGGAGAGATTCCAAGTAGCAACCTTTCATTTCTATCCTCTTGGTTTGGTGCTCACAAGATTCTAAAGACTAGAGAATACACACCTGGCATGGTCTTTCAGGGATAAAATATTGTAAAACTTGCAGTAATTGAAAGTCCCTCCTTCAGGTCAAATTTGAGACCCATTTGGATTTTTATAAATTATAGACCAATCTTAATTTGTTTAATAATCAAAAGTGCCAAATTGAGGCCAGAATAGGTTATCAGTTGAATCTCTTGCAGTTTAAACCAAATTTCACCTAATTCAATAGCTCCCACTGTTGGTTTGTCAGTCACTCACCAGCTATAGTTATTTGTGACACATATTGCACTCTCATCCAACTCAAGTGAAAGCTTACCTATTCCCTCAAAGGAACTTCTCAGGAAACACATGTCCCAACAATGTGGGGACTTAGCTTAGCTCAAAAGAATTTGAAATCAAGGGAGGAGTCTGGCCTCTGGGCAGTATTCCATGAAGAAGCCCCTTGGTGAGGGGTCTAGGGAGCTTTTCAGAAAACCCGTCACAGAGGTCCATTTCTGACAAACTGGCTGGCTTCACCAAAAAC